AAGTACGTGACGGAGGTGCAAAAGGCGCAGGCGGCGAGGAACGGGCAGGTGCTCTGAGAGGGGTCACACATAGCGGCTTGTATCGGGTCATAGGGAATTGTTGGTGTGTTTGTAGGCGGATTTTATGGCTTTTGAATATGCAACCACGTACATACGGTATCTGAGGCGTATAGCTGGGCTGGTAGAAAGCGGGAATAGCCACTGATCAGCAGCAACTCAACTGAGGGATGCATGCGAGGTAGCATGTGTGTAGAAGTGTCCGGACACAAAATGGGACGGCGTCCGGCTGGATAAATTCCGAATAAATAATGCGATAATAATTCGCCCGCATCTTCGTCCACCGTTGACCATCATCTGGAGGTCTTGCGTCGAGTCTCGGGTCGTATATGCTGTTAGACTCGCTCAGCTGCTATAGTCCCTCCTAGACCTTCCCCGTCCCGCGCATCCCCACCCACAGCTCTCAAAATGGCAGACGTCGTCCCCCAAACAGACGCAACCGCCTCCGCAATCTCTTCCGCCGGCCCCATCCTCTCCGACCCCGCCGCGACTTCCACCAACGCCGCCTCCGCACCACCCAGCGCAGGCCCTGCAGAGGGAGGAGAACCAAAACCAGAGGTAGCTGGGGAGAACGGGGAGGAAGAGAAGAACGAAGAGGAAGAGGAAGATCCGAATAAGCTGCCGGATGATGCTTGCGAGACGCTGTACCTGCAGAACCTGAACGAGAAGGTCAGAATACCAGGTGCGTGTAGGCGAGCTTTGCTGATTTAGTGGACGAAAAACATTGAAAGTCAAGCTGACCTCCATGTGGGTGACAGTGATCCAGCAAACCCTCGAGAACTTGTTCAAGCCTTACCGGGCGATTCTCCCGATCGTGGCACACCGGAGTGTGCGCATGCGCGGACAAGCGTTCGTTTCGTTCCCGGATGTAGAGACGGCGAACAAGGCGAGGAAGGATGTGGCCGAGTTCCCTTTATATGGGAAGCCCATTGTAAGTCAGAATCTGTGGTCCCGTAGAGATGGTGTCCATGGAGACATGCTGACGGCTGATGATGGGTACAGCAAGTAAGCTTCGCGAAGAGCCGGTCGGATAGCGTGGTGAAGAAGTTGGAGAGCGAGACAAAGTTCGAGGAGCACACGAAGCAAAGATTAGAAGCGAAGAGTGTGTTACAATCGACATTGAAGCGGCATGACGCCCATGTGCTGTGCTGACGGGATGGCCGCTACAGAGGAGAAGAGGAAGAACAACCCGCTGAGGCAGAAGCAACAGGCGAAGCTCAAGGCCGGTAGGTCGCCCTTCTACTTCAATCTTCCGCTCATAGTATGCACGAGTCGGAGCACGAGCTGACACCAATTTTAGAGGACGAGCCTGCCGCAGGTGCCGGTGCTCCCGCCGCCAAGAAGCAGCGTCTCCAGATGCCCGACGAATACCTCCCTCCCAACTCTGTGCTCTTCATTCAAAACCTCCCCGAGGGCACGACCGCCGACGACCTGCGCGAAGTGTTCGAAGTACACGCTGGGCTGGTGGAGATCAGGACGATCCCTGCCAAGAAGGATATCGCGTTCGTGGAGTTTGGGGACGAGGCGGCGGCAACGGTGGCCAAGGAGGCGTTGCACAACTTCAAGATCGACGGAGAGACGAAGATGAAGGTGAGCTGGACTGCTTGTGGTGCCGGAATTCAGCTGACAGTGTGTCGTCAGGTCACATACGCGAGGAAGTAGACGTGGTGAATGTGGTAGATTTCCGGGCAACCCAATCCAATGCATGTTTTGTACACTCCTGCCCCCCTGAGTGCGGCTTGCGCTACTATCAGCCCGTAGCCTGGCTCAAGCTCTCGGATAAGGGCGGTCAGAAACAACGGCGAACGAACGATGCATCCGATGGCCTAATCATCCGGGACGACAGTCAAGAATGTACATCACATCCGCACCCGTTTCCGTATGTCATTAGTGAATGCTATTTACACAAGAGCGTCTACGCTCTACCGATCTCGTCAAGCCACGTCTGTCGTCTTCTTTGGTTCTGTCCCCATGCCGCCTGACCATTCTCACACCGTGTGACCCATGTCTCTGTATGCACAATGAAAGAGAGTGCTGCCTCATACTTGTTGTGCTTTCCGTGTCCCTCCGTCAAACGTGTGTACGGCCTCAACATCTCGATCAGAACCGCCCAGCACGGAAGACTGCCTGGGTAGCAATCCTCCTGGCCTAAATTGTGCCCCGTGTCAGTTTCTGCCGAGTAACCATACAGAGTCAGCTACCCAACAAAACTCACCTGGTCCAAACTGATCGCCTCCCTCTTCAACTTCGTCCCCTCGTCATCATCATCGTCCTCATCCTCCTCCGCCTCCCTCGCGCGCATCCTATCATTCATCCCCGGTGTCCTTCCCATGTTTCCAAACATCCCGCCGCCGGGGCCGGGCGTTGCGAGGATCGGCGCACCGAACACCGAGACGGAGCCGCCGACAGAGGGCGAAGACGCGCCGAACGGCTTGAAGTCGCTGACGACGCGGCGAGTCGGCGAGGACGCGGTGAAAGAGCCAGGAGCGGTGCTACCAGGCGGGGAGGACGGTGTGGGAGGAGCAATGGAAGAGGTGGATGTGCCGAGAGAGGTGCGGCGTGGGGGGAGACGCCCGCCAGGGGTGTACCTGTAGCCCGCAGCGTAGTTCTGTTTCCGGAACTTGTCCGTGAGGCGCTTCCCGGGAACCTGTGATGAAAGACCAAAGTCAGCAATGCGTTGACAGTCTAAGGCTTAGACGTGGAGACTGACGCTCAGAATGTGGGGGACAGCGTCCCCTATGAACTGCGCGTTCATCCACGTCGTGACGTTCTTCTTCGCGTTCTCGTGCGGAGCGTAGACATCAGGGAGCTGAACCTGCTTGGTCTGCTCGTTACGCAAAAGCAGGCGCTCGTGAAGCTCGCTACAAACGCTGTCAGTCGGGATTTTGACAGATGCACAAAGCGCTTGACATACTGGGCAACCTCCTCCACACTCTCCAGTGATTCGCCCTTCTGCCTGATACGCTGCGCGACCTCCATTCCAATTTCTACGACATTTTCAGCTTTCTATCGGGGGTTCAGAGTCATTCGACTCACCAGCAATAAGCCTCTCCATGTCCATGTTCTCCAACACACTCCCCACGATTGTCATCGCAAGGAGGTCGGCGGTAGTGAGCGGGAGCATCACGCCGGAAGTCAAGTTGCATATAGCCTGGAAGAAGTCGACGGCGTGCTGATGGAAAAGGAGTGTCAGCTTGTGATTCGCAATCAGAATGCCTCATGCTCACGGAGTATCCGGACAAAGTGTCCTCGCACGCAACCATGAACTGCAAGTATGGAACATTAGCTCGGTTCTACCTGCAACACACTGCACACTCACAAAGGTGATGCCGTTCTGCGCCATGACGCGAGCTATCTGAAGAGGGTCGTGGCCTGTACGACCTGTCAGATATCGTCCATGCAAGTGACAGGTGCAAGCCAAACTCACCATCTGGGTCACCTCCTCTGATCTCTGTAGTACACTGTCAGCTATGGCCCATCGTCTCCTTTCACACTGATCACTCACGATCACCAGACTCTCCGATACCTGCAAAATATGTCAGCAAAGGCCACTGCACGAAGCACCATGGAACGTACCATGTGGAGGCGCATCAGCAACGAGCACGACCATCTTCGCCGCCTCCCTTCTCCACTGCAGCTGAGTGAGCGCTGCCGCCATGCCCGCGGTCACCGCCTCTGGTCCATCCCCACCACCGGACGCTGAGTGCCTAGGTCAGCGTATACACCGCAATCCAACTGTGTAATGTGCTTACCTGACAGCCCTTTGAGGTACTCCTGCACTTCTGGGATGTTGGAGGTGAAGTGTATATGTTTGGTGACGTAGCTGTTGTCCTGGGGCGGGTGGTCACGGTAGTTGACAATCTATACCTTCTTGTCAGTCCTGCAATGTCATTTCCACTGCGCCTGGCCACACACTCACAGCCACTCGAAGGTCCTCGGGACCATTCAGCCCCTCCTCGCCTCTGATCATTTCGCAGATACCACTGATGTGGTCTCGCACAGAGTTGATGTACTTTTGCATTGACCCAGTGCAGTCGAGGATAAAGGCGAGATCGCTGTAATGTCATCAAAGTTAGCTCTATGATTTGCATGGCCCGGCCTCACGGCCTGTCAACGTTCACTCGGCCCAGACTCACATGTATTTCCCGCTGCTCGAGCCCGTGCCCTCCACAAAGTTGACGTTGTAGTGTGTGATGGGCTCCGGCCTCACTGGAGGTTCTATGGGGGGCTTGGAGGAGTAGTACGAGTAGTAGGTGCTATGGGAAGAGGAGACCTCGTCCATGTCGTCGTCCATGGCGGTGGATGTGTAGGTGTGGAGGGGGGAGATGTAAGGTATCGTGGGTGGCGCGTGGAGGACAGCGGGGCTACGAGAGGTCGACGAGGCTGCGGGAAAAGAAGGGAAGGCTAGCTGGGCGCTATATACGTGGGCGAAGACTGGAGATGCAGGGTTCAGAAAAGGGGGAAATGGGGGATGGGGAGAAGAAAAAGAACAAGTTGTGATGAGGCAGTGAGCTGAAACCAGGTAGCCTCGCGTCATTGTTGTCCCCCGGGAGCTACCGTGGGAAAGCTGTATGCACACACCTCGGTCAGTCAACGAACGAAGCGAACCTCGCCGTCATTGTCAGTTGCGCCAGTGAACTCGCATCGCTACTATAACATGCACGAAAATATATACACGGAAGCCTTATGGCTCTGGAGAAGAAGAAGATGAATTCGAAGTAGGCGCGGCGGCCCCATTCTTTCTACTGTACTGTGTCATAGTTATGGCATGGTTGATACAACAATCATGCAGGTCTGCCCATACTGCCGAGCCCCGCATGCATGCATGCACACAATGCATATAGCCGCACCGTCAAAAGCGCGAGAGCTGTAGGCTAGGACGGCATCACCACCGCAGCATACAAGAGGCAAGATGCACCAAGCAAAAAATGCAAAAAGGCAAAAGCCCCTGGTGGGGCTTGAACCCACGACCGTCCGATGAATATTTAAACTTATAAGCCTAAAAGTCGGAAGCTGTAACCAACTCAGCCACAGGGGCTTCACAAGAACACATTAGCAACCGCCACTATAGCCCCCATCGCAATAAAAGAAACGTGAGATGTCTTGGAGATAGCGAACTCATCGCAATGTGTATCATGTATCATCATGTATCATACATATATCGGCCGACAGCTGAGACATCCTCCAGCAATAATCTGAAAGAGATTTACGTATTGCGCTGATTAGTGCAATTGCGGATGGCATATGCATGCCCGGAGCGTCACGATGATGACTCGCTCTAATAAGTGGCGGAAAGAGGAGTCTCGTCCGTCGTCCCCCCTGTGAACGGCCCGCCGGTAAGGCGAGCAGCGTTGATGATATCGGTCATCCGTGGTATTTACGACGTACGTGCTCATGTATCCGCGTGGGCTCTCCAAGATATATTTCCTCTCGCAAACTGTAGTGTTCAATCTTTCATTCGCCACCATCCGCAGTCAAAAGCTATACTACGGGCACCGTACCGTCGTACTGTACCTTCTCCTCAGCAGCAGAAGACACGACAGACAACCCATACGCATCGACGGAATGGCCCACTTCTCAATACAGCTTCACCATTGCCTCCACAACATCAATACCCAGCAGGAAAGCCACCTCTACAGCTTTCGTCCAAACTTGAAAGTACCCTCGCCTCCACCCCAGATCCCGCCCCGGAAGTCCAAGAAAGCCAAATCAAAAGGCAAAAAGATGACAATAGTCTGTCCTGGATCCCCACCGTCCACAGCCGCCCCGACTCTCAGCACTACCTCAGCCGCCATGCCTTCACTCCCACCTAAACCCCTGCTTCCAAACCGGGCCAAATCCAAGCGAAGGCTTAGTGGCCGAGCTCGAATGGAAAGACTAGGGTGGGATCGCATTCGTCGTGAAGGGTGGCTCACCCCTATCGATGAGGAAGAAGAATCAATCCGCTCTGGGGCGTCCTCTCCTTCTACCGCTCAGGGGAGCAGCACCCGCATCGTCACCCCGTTTGTTGATTCCGTGGTGGATTTGATCGGAGGGGCAACTCGGAAGTTTGAGAGGCTGTTCGTGAAGGGATTCGGAATGACATGGACGACCTTGGACTCGTTGAGGACGGTGGATGATTCAGGGCTGAGGGGGAGTGAAAGCTTGTCCGAATCAAGTGATGATGATGATGGGTCTGTCGCCTCGTCCTCGAAGGCTTTGAGAGTTCAGATCCCAGAAGATTTTGTTGGGTACGTGGGGCTGGACGGAGAAGAAGATGTGCGTGTGACATTCAGGTGCCAAGAGGTGGGTGAGCCAGCCTTTGCGCTTTACGTCGTATACTGATCTCTCTCACGAGCAGGAGGAACTATCGTTTCCGTCCCCCATTGACGACGAAGCCATCCCCTTACTGTCAACCCACGAATCGACAATCTGCCCAACCATACGAAGCATCGACATCAGCTCATCCAGTTCATCAGTAGTGTGCACCGTCACCCTTGCATCGGTTCTTGGTCTATCGCTCACACCGACGGAGGAGAGTTCTTCAATCATGATGGCTGCGCTTTACGGGGAAGTGAAAGTAGCAGGGCGAGGTGAGGAGTCGGGGATCGTCTTATGATACCTACCATGCATGTATGTCATGGCAACCCGATGTACATCATGCAAGCGGGAACAAGAAGATCAGATAGTGGATAGAAGAGCTGACTGAGGAAAAGCACACCATGAGGATTTTCAGGTACCATCAAGTTGGATGACGTGAGGCCACTCTAAGCCACCATCTTCTGGTTGAAAGTTGGATCCTACTTATTCTCCTCTCACTCTTCCATAACTACAAAAAAGGCAGTTTGAAAGCCTCCAGGAGCAACCCCCCCTGTCCTCCCCCAACCCCATTGTCTGCCGCCCCATCCTCTCTAGACAGGCAGCTGAGCAGCATTCGATCCGCAACACCGACCACGATGGGCTTCCTCGGCAGCCTCGCGACCTTCCTCACTTCCTTGTCCAGTCCGCAAACCGGCGTCACCTCCACCCACCACCGCTATCCGGACGATGCTTCCCCGCACGACATCCGAGAAACAGTCTCCTCGCCCCCTTCACGTGCCACAAGGAGCAATCCGACCACCAGCCCTGTTCACCGCCGGCGCCAGACTCGGAGATTGGTGGGCTCGTGGGGCAGCAACGCAGCGCACAAATGGAGGGTATGGGAGGGACGAAAGAGGTTATCAGCTATTGTTGAGATGAGAGAGGAGGAGGAGGCTGCAACTGGTCAGTTTAAACCATTGTGAGAGGGATCTGGGTCGAGCCAGCTGACGAGTGTGGCCGGCGGTTGTGGGAAGAGCAGCTGTGAAGCCGAGGAGCAAGGCCGAGGGATCACTGAGGAAGCTGTTGAGCATGCACTTCAGGAGCACGAGGACGATAAAGGCACGCACGAGGAGCATTTTGAAAGAGGACGTGAGTGTGCCTTTTCCTCATGTCAAGAGCGCAGGAGCGGGACTGAAGAGATTGGGTGTGGTGGCAGGCTTCGGCGGGGATCGCAGAGATCAGGGAGGCGAAAGCTGTGTTATGAGGAAGTGGACGGGCGTATACACATAGAGTGGTGTCGGGACGAGCAGTGCGTAACATCTATCGGTATGCGGACAAGGTGTACCCGCCGTGACGACTATAGACTCCTGCAGCCCCTGGTGCTTCCGTTCACCCCCATCCGACCTCCCACCACCAATATCCCCCATGCTCATCTATCCTCCCTTCGCCCTTCCTCCCCCTCTCCCCACGCTTTCCTTCTCCACGCGCTCCAAGTTTCAGCCCCCTTGCAGCTCCCAGTCCTTCTCCCCGCAGTTCAGCGGGGATAGTAGATGGCGAGGCACCAGCGGCCGCAGCTGCAGCTTGACGCTTTGCGAGGGGTGGGTACGAGGACAGAAGGGGGAAGTTTAAGTCGATTGATTCGAGCTCGGGGGCAAAGGTCGGACGGAGAGGGGAGAGGATATGCTTTGCGGGCCATTCGTCAGCTGAAGAAATCATGGCTTTAACAGAAGGGACCCACGAAAGTTCCGCCCCGGTCGCCCTCGCCTTCGGGCAGCCGCAACACCCACGGTGCAACCTCCCTTAGCATGCCCGCATGCGTCTCGTCATACACACAATCGCTCGCCAAGACCAAGTCAAAGCTCCCGTCTTGCACGAACGGTGCGAGCTCCTCCGTGCCCTCTTTCCCTCCAGACGCCATGAAAGCCGGGAAAGTCGTCCAGTCCAGCTTGGCGATGTGGATACCCTCGTCCCGCGAGATATCTGTGGAGGTCTCGATCCCCGCCGCGGTCAACGCGGGTGGGAAGTTGAGGTCGACGCAGATCTTGAGGTTGTCAAGCACAGAAGGAAGGAAGTCCGTAGCAACCACCACGCCTGGGTGGGCTGACGCAGCCAGCGAGTGGAGATCGAGCAGCTTGCGGCACAGGATGCTAAGGAGGCCTGTTCCGGCGCCGAGCTCGAGCACGCGCGGCCCGCAGGAGATGGTGGGGGGGAGGAACAGGCCGTACTCAGCTGGGCCAAGGCAGATCTGCCGGCCAAGAAGAATGGCACTGCCCCACGTCTGGACGCCCACGGCGAGGTGGTCGCTCATTGGAGCATCGTGCAAGAGGATGGGGAGGAGAGCGCGGGTGGAAGTGGATTTGGTCTTTCGGCTGGAGGTAGAGGTGGTGGGCGAAGGGGTGCGGCGAGTGGCTTTGGGAGAGGAGGCCATGCTGCGATGTATGGTGAGGGGCGAAGTGGGAGAGGCGCTGAAAGACGCGAGGAAGGTGCTGGTGCTGGGGGAATGGAGAGGGTTTGGGGCGATGCTGGAACGGAGGGAAGCGAGGGTGGGGGCCAGAGACTCGGCGATGGGGAACACAAGGTGCCGTGTGAGTGATCCAGCAGCTATTCGTGAAGTCAGTGCGTGCCCTCCAACTCATGTCGACCCATTTGACTAACCACTGGTGCCGGCCATCATCGCAAGCACCGCCGTGGCGTCCCTCAAGATCGCCTCGGTCTCTTTCACATCATCTGGCTTCTCATCGCCCTCATAATCATTCTCCTCTAACCACCCCTGAGACCGCCGAACGACCCCACTCAGCCAGTTTTCTGCCCACTCGCGCTCAAAAGCATCCAAGTGGGGCGCCTCCTGCTCGTCCTCCGTCTCCTCATAGTCATTATAACCGTCGTCCTCATCATCCGTACTTCCTTCTTCTTCAGCCTCTTTATCCTCCACGATCGTCTCTCCAGGTGGCGTAGGCAGGTCCACATCGAGCCCCAGTCCCATCCCCTCCATCGTTTCCACAAGCCCCGCGCTGAACCGCCTCTCCCTCTTCTTCTCCCTCCTCTCTTTCTTTTCGCGTCTCACACCCTCGCGCTTTGCACCACCCCGGACCTCATCACCGGGGCGATCTTCAAGAACGTCTGCGGCATGGAAGCCGCCGTGAATCGGGGGAAGGTAGAGCTCGCGAAGGACGGCAATGTGGGTGAGGATGGCGGAGGGTGAAAGGGGGGAGAGGGAGGTTTTCGAGCGGGGCAAGTGAGGTAGGAATGAGCTTGGGATGTCGGCCATGTTGACCTCTGCCCTGCGGCTGTCGCTACTGCTGAACACTTGCGATGCGAGGGTTCCCACCTCGATGGAGACTGCTTTCTGGCTGTTCGATGAGGTGCGTGGACTGGAAATTGTGGCGCGCGGTGGAGGCCGAAAGTGGGGAGGTGTTATTAATCCTTTACTTACAATTGTAATTACCTCCTTCCCTTTCCGGCAACAACGGCGTGGAACGCCATCTCGGTGGAACCTGTCGTTCTTCACCCCATAGTCGTCATCTTCACGGTCCACATCCTCTTTCTACGGCCCAACCCAATCCCCCAGCGTTAAGCACCCCTCTCACACCTCCCCCCTCCGAAAAGCCGCATCGAAAATGGTACATTCCGCGTTTTTTGGCATGCTCCCTCCCTCTCCGCGAGTCACTGACACCCAATCTCGAACAGGCCGACGTCAAGCGCCCCTCCTCCCCCGGTGCTCCCCCCGCCGCCTCCGGTTCTTCGTTCGCCGTCTCCCGG